TCCAAACTCACTTCATAATGTCAGTCGAGTGTTTGAAATAAATCCTTCAGTGAGATGATGTGGCTTCTTACACAAAACAAGGCACGCAACATATTTCATAGTGTTCTAAGCAGTGATAAAGGCTATGTCGATTAGCATTGTATTTTTATATACTTTATTATAATAAGATGAACTCAGATAGACCATATATCGTCATAGTCGTGTGTTTATTAGTCACGTTGAATTAATAAAAGCAGTTGAATCTTCTGTTTATTCAGCTGCAGAGATAGGCATTTCCTGGGTTTCTTCTGCGAGGCGTATTTATAATTGAATACCAAAGATGTATGCAATCTCTCGTCTACATTATGAAAACAGCTAAAACAAATGAAAAATATAACAGTGAAATTCCTAGTAATTCCAAATGGCAATAGCCTATTTCTCTATTAAAACAACAGTGGTTGAGTAAGTGCATTTATTCAGCAATCACAATCGCAAACAATACAATCGAGATCTCATGACAGAACATTGACCAGCTGAATGACGCTTTCATTTAGATCGCTAAACTCCAGCTTGTTTGTCGGTGTTTTCAGGTAATCGGCGGCATCGCTTCCGCAATGAGGAGCGAGCGTGTGCGCATGGTTGCCAGATTGCTTAAAATAAGCAAAACACCAGGCAGAAAATGTATCAATGTAACAGCAAAGCTCTGATTCGGGGACTAGAACTTAATCGCGATTTATCACCTTTGCGATTTAATTTCGATTAATAGTGCAGCCCTATGTGACATCAGTGGTTCCACTGTAATTTTATGAAGCTACGAGAATACTTTCTGTGTGCAAAGAAAACAAAAATAATGACATTATTCAACAATTCTTCTCCTCTGCGTCACCCTGGTGCCATTATGCTGACGGATTCAACAACTGAGACATAAGCGGAACAAATTTCACAGACATCTGACGAACAGAAATTGAATGAGTCCCTGAAAAGAGCGGGGGTCAATATCAAAAGTAGCAGTCAGTAAAGTAGCAGTCAGTATGTAGTGACTCATCTTAATGGACTGAAAAAAAATTAGCCAGTTCTTGCTGTAAGATGTTACTTCACTCTTCCAACAAGGCACTTGCAAGTTCTTGAACACATCTGGTCACATGTGGTCTGGCATTACAAGGGCGATCAGCTGTGAAGTGAAATGAAAGCATCCTGAGAGTTTTATATATTTTATGTGTGTGTGTGTGTGTGTGTGTGTGTGTGTGTGTGTGTGTGTGTGTGTGTGTGTGTGTGTGTGTTGTGGACACATACATGGTGTATTTTACCTCATCTAGTGTATATAATTGAATACCAAAGATGTATGCAATCTCTCGTCTACATTATGAAAACAGCTAAAACAAATGAAAAATATAACAGTGAAATTCCTAGTAATTCCAAATGGCAATAGCCTATTTCTCTATTAAAACAACAGTGGTTGAGTAAGTGCATTTATTCAGCAATCACAATCGCAAACAATACAATCGAGATCTCATGACAGAACATTGACCAGCTGAATGACGCTTTCATTTAGATCGCTAAACTCCAGCTTGTTTGTCGGTGTTTTCAGGTAATCGGCGGCATCGCTTCCGCAATGAGGAGCGAGCGTGTGCGCATGGTTGCCAGATTGCTTAAAATAAGCAAAACACCAGGCAGAAGATGTATCAATGTAACAGCAAAGCTCTGATTCGGGGACTAGAACTCTTGATATCTGGCAACCGCACTCATGAAATCTCTCGTAGTAGAGGCGTGTAGAGCAGTCCGCAATAACATTTTGTGTCCTTTTTTGACAAAAATAAAAAGAGGTTTTGGTAAAGTTTTTAACTTTTTGAATACATTTTAGTCTCGTCTTATTTCGTCAACGAAATTACATGTTGATATAGTCTTAATTATCGTTCATTGACCTTATTATCGCCTCGTCTTCGTCTCGTCTTAGTCATGGGAAAAAAGCTAGTCAACGAACATTTTTCGTCATAGTCTTCATTAACGAAATTAACACTAGTGTGTGTGTGTGTCATCACAGTGTGCTGATATACAGCCATAATGCACTGCTAATGGCACGAGTGTGTAAATAAGAAAAGAAACAATGGAGTGTCTTTAAATAGCCTCTTTTTTGCAGAACTACTTCCTTCCGCCACGGATTCAAATCTCAGTTTGAGAGTTTAACAGCTGAGCTCAAGATCCGTTACTAATTCGATAACGTTACTTTAGAACTAGTAACGAAGGAATGTTGACTTGCTTCACTGAAAGTTTATTGTATTACTGTATTAAAAACAGCATATTATTGGAGTAGAGTATTATGAGAGAGATGGACTGAGCGAGTGTGATTACCTGCATCTGACACAGCATTCACTCTTCAGCTCAATCTCATATTCACAATAAAACATTAGTTTGAATGTCCGCTGAAGAAAGCGATATCTTTGTCGTACTGAACAGAACAAGCGTGACTGTTTTTAAGACCATTTAGTCTTTTCTAATCATGCCCAAGTTTTTTGTTTTTACATGGCAAGTGTCACAAAAGTCACCACGTTCCATACTATTCTGATAAAGTAAATAATAATAATCAGTCCTATTTCATTGTTGTCACAGGAATCTCTGGGTTCCTTCAGATGCAGACTTTTACAAGAAAGATCTTCCAGGAACCACTTAAATGTTTACAGATCTTACAGTAACCCCTTTTTAAAATAAATAAATAAATTGAGTTCTTCCAATAACCTCCAAAGCACTCCAAGGTCTCAGTGTAATGAAATGGTGACTCCATAACCTCAGAACTGGAAACAGAATGCTTCAAACTTTTGTTCCCATGAGTTGCTGAAAGAACTTCGAAGACTGTAATGGTTCCTCCAGGAACCCTATTATGAGAAAAAGAGCTACATTAAAATACATTTTGAAGTTCCTTGAGTACTCAAAGGGATATTTAAGGCACCTTTAGTTTTTACAGTGTATGGAGAGTCCCCGTAAACCATAAAAACCAATGTGTGTGTGTGTGTGTGTGTGTGTGTGTGTGTACCTGGTATTTATCACGTTATGGGGACCAAATGTC